ATAAATATGAAAATATGAGATATTTTGATTATATTTATTAATTGAGAAGGTCTCGGTTCAATTTGCGATATTTTGACCTACCCTACGGCGACACTATATTCGTGGTAAATTGGATTATCGATGGCACCTAAAATTAAAACATGATTTATGTATTTTTCATGTGCATCATGCATCATATTTAATTGTGCCTAAATTCACATGTTTTGATATTCATGCACATAAATTGATTAGATGAATATTCTACTTATTTCCAGCAATATGTCAAATCCTAAAATCTCACTACATGAAACTGAAACACTGACTAGAGATAAACTATGCAAAGTGGTAAAGTAACATAAACAACTTACATTCATGTGATGAATATAAATTTGTCCCAAATGGAGGATTGTCCTCATGTCCCTAATAAAACCATTGTAGCTAACTATTAGCTAGGGTTGTGCATGGTAATTCACAAGAAGCTTGAAGGCATGGAGACAGCTTATGAGATAATGCAGTCATCAGATACTGTATCTGGAAATCTATAAAACAAAAGGGTTGGCTGAATACTGTGAGAGCCTTGAGTAAAAGACAAAAGGAAAGTCGTTTCCACCAAAATAAAGAAAAAGAATCAAGCAAATATGATTTGCTAGTTCTAAAAACATGTTTAGTAAAAAGGGTGATTCCTTATTTCTGAATAGTAGATTCGGGAGTTGCTACTCATGTTTGTTTTCTTTATTAAGTCTTAGTTCTTACAAAGAAATTGTGTCCCGAAATAAAGAAAGGATCTCAAGCAAATATGATTTGCTAGTTCTAAAAACATGTTTAGTAAAAAGGGTGATTCCTTATTTCTGAATAGTAGATTCGGGAGTTGCTACTCATGTTTGTTTTCTTTATTAAGTCTTAGTTCTTACAAAGAAATTGTGTCCCGAAATAAAGAAAGGATCTCAAGCAAATATGATTTGCTAGTTCTAAAAACATGTTTAGTAAAAAGGGTGATTCCTTATTTCTGAATAGTAGATTCGGGAGTTGCTACTCATGTTTGTTTTCTTTATTAAGTCTTAGTTCTTACAAAGAACTTGCCGTCAGGGACTACACGATGAAAGTGGAAATACCGCGAGGATATTGGCAAAAGCAGTGGGAGAAGTTAGACTTCAATTTTAGAAATACCTTGTTGTGAACAATGTTTATTTCCCTCCAAGCATAAAAAGAAATTTGATTTCTAATTCCAAATTGTTTGAGCAATTACCTTTAATAATAATCTAGTCCACATCTTTCGGAATTGTTCTGAGATATGTTCTAGATATTTGGAAAATGGTTTATACCGTTTAAACCGATGCCTGGCTCACTGTGAAATATTAAAATGTTCAAAAGTTGCCGAACCTAAGAATAAGAAGCAAAGGATCTCTCACGATAAATAACACATATATGTGGCATCTTAGACTTGGTCATATTAGCCTAAACAAGATTTAAAGACTGGTAAAGGATGATCCTTTATGCGAACTAAAAGTTAGTAAGCTTCCAGCCTATGAATCTTGTCTGGGAGGCAAAATGACCACGGGGCCTTCCATGTCGAAAGGAGAAAGAACCACAGAATCTCTTCAGCTAATACATTCGGATGTATGTGGACCGTTAAACGTCCAAGATAAAGGAGGTTACAAATATTTCATCACTTTTATTGATGATTATTTGAGATATGGTTATGTTTACCTAATGCAATAGAAATCTGAAACTTTTAGAAAGTTTAGAGAATTCTGAGCATAAGTTGAAAAACAGTTAGGTAAACCAATCAAGACACTTCGATTAGATCGAGGGGGTGAATGCCTGGACTAAGAGTTTCAGGATATCTTGATTGGAGAAGGTGTGGTATCCTAATTGACTACGCCCGGTACACCATAGCATAATGGTGTAGCCGAAAAGAGAAATCAAACTTTGCTCGACATGATAAGATCAATGTTGAGTTATTCTTCACTTCCTACTTCGTTCTGGGATTATTCCTAAGAATCACCGTGTATATTCTGAATCTAGTACCATCTAAGTCTATACGAAAGACGCCCCTAGAGTTGTGAAATGGTCGAAAGCCAGTTTTGAAGCATATTCACATATAGGGGTGTCCGGCTCATGTGATGAAATAATAGACTGGGAAGTTGGAACCAAGATCATAAATATGCATGTTTGTAGGATATGCAATGGGGACAAGAGAATGATTATTTTATATAGTCATAAGAATCAAAAGTATTTGTATCGACAAATGCCACGTTTCTGGAGCATGACTATATGATAGTTATCAAGCCTAGAAGCAAAGAAGTTCTGGAAAAGTTACTTTCCAATAAGATTGGACCACAACCGACAAGAGTTGTTAGAACGCTAAGAATGACCACGATTCCTAATCAAACTCCAATAAGATTGGAGCAAGGACTGTTCGTGGTCAAAGGACTCAAGTTATCATCCGAGTCGGCTTTCAAGTTTTTTTTTTGATTGAGTTCTTAATATATATAAGTTAATGAGATTAATTTATTCGTGCATAAATTAATATAATCTATAGAGTATCTCAAAAGTTTTATGAAAATTTTTGTTATACACGATCCGCCTCTTCCCCGCACCACCGCGCTTCCGCACCCGGATTCGATCCGGAGACCAACATAAGTTCCTCCCAAAGCTTCCAATCATTCTTCAAAGCATCCCATTTATTCTTCAATTGTTGTCTTTTATATACTCGTTTGGTTGCTTCATTAAATTTTCGAATTAAATTTTCCCATCCAACTTTATCCAAATGAGTTCCAGGACGACGTCCAGCTTCCACGTCTATAATACACAAATCACAAAACAGATCCACAGTCTCGGGGTCCCATATTGCTTTACCTTGTGGTATAATACCCTCCATTTGAGAATTGATAACTGAAAGTCTAAAACAATATGAGGCTTCATGCTTTAATTTACAAAAATAACAATAAGGGTAATTCTAACCTTATTTCCAATTCGAACACTCAATCAATAGCCAAACTAAGCATAGCTTCTAGTCCTAGATGCTTCACCTAAAAATTGGCATAAGAACTAGTGTATTTGATTGAAACATCAAGATCATCGTTTTATGAAAAAGAATGGATGCCCTGATTACTGTTTTTTTGGCGTTTCATTATCCTTTAAAGTTCTATGCATTTGTCATACTAGTGAACTTTGATAATGTAATACTAACAGTTCGTGTGATTTATTTCAGGTAAAAGAGATTAGTAACCAACTTGCTCCAGAGATTACTTGGTGGCAAGCTGAAGCTCTAATGGCACTTTAGGAGGTGATTAACTTTTCTTATATCTAATTCAAGAAGTTGATGTTTAGCTGCTTCCATATAATAAGACAGAACCTAATTATGTGATTAAGAAACATGGAAATGGATTTACCAATTTTATTCATGCTTTTACTTGGCGAGGAAATCAAGTTGTTTGGGTAGGAGGGAAAGAAATACTCTATCTGCTAGGTATGGTCATCTCGAATAACTTGTTACTTACATTTGCTTAGAACGATATTTGCAATGATAATTGCACATGAAAAGTATTCACGTTCACACATTAGATTACTGCCTATGTTTAATTGCTAAAAGTATGTAAAACATCAAGAATACACAACAAAAAACGACAACAAAAAATATGATAAGAGCAAATAGCAAATCATAACCCTCAACAGTATGGTCATCTCATTTCATTTTCTGTGTTGAGGAACCCAGAAACTTTCAACAATGTACAATGATCTGAAGAAAATCAGAACCCTAAACCAAACCCATTTACGCACAAAAAATCAGAACTCAATCTAAAGCCGCACTAAAAATCGAGCACTTACAGAGGTTACCCTCTTGATGTGATGATGGGCAGTCGGAGGAGGAGATGGGATACCGGCAAACCAAACCCTCAACAATGCTCAACCGTTTTTCTTTGAAGGCAAAAGTCAGAAACCTAAAACCCAAAATATTCAAACTAAAAATCAGACCCAAAAATCTAAATGTTCAAACTAAAAATCGCGCAGTTAGAGAGGCTTACCTCTTGATCTGATGATGAGAGACGGGCAGTTGGAGGAGGAGAAGGGAGACCGGCAACGAAGAGATCAATCGGGCGGAGGAGAAACCAAACGAGTCCCGAGAGGCCAACGGAGAGATCAACCGGCAAACGGAGAGAGAGGCCGGTGAACGGAGCTGGGGAACCTCGCTTTGAACGGCGAGGAGGAGAGAGGATAGAACTCTCAAAAAAATTTTCGTAGAGGAGGAAGAGAGATACGAGTGGAGGAGAGTGGAGAGATCTGAAATGAAAATGGGTGGTAAATTTCAAATTTCAGTGGGGGTAAAATTGGAAATAAAAAATTTCATTAAACACTCAAAACAGATTCCCGCATAAGCTAAAAGCAGAATCAGCCTCAGAATCAGCCTAAAAGCTGATTCTGCTTTTAGCTTCAGATTGAGAGGAAATTATTTAAAAATCTGTTTCACCAAACAAAATTTTAGATTTTAGATCTCTCAATAAGTGCTTTTTCTCTCCTAAAAGCAATACCAAACCCACCCAATATAGTTATAATCTAAACTTTCTTCGAAGATGTCTAAAGCTCATTTTCTTTTCCAAGAATGTCATGCTACAAGATATACTTGACTTTAGCAAGTTAGTTGTAACAACTGACAAGTATAGTTTCAGAAGTTGGCTACATGGGACTGGGCAATCTTGTGTTGGAAGGGTTTTTATGTTTTATTTTTTATAATATATATATATATATTATTAATTAAATTCATGCGTCAAGTTACGTTCTCGTTGTTTGTTTTTCTCTGGCTTATGTCCCTGTGATTAAAGCAGTAGAATGACATCTGTTGAGAAGGAATTTTTGAATATGTCGGTTTTTATTTTTATTTTTATTGTTTCAAATGGCTGCTAATGTAAACATTTGTTAAGAAAGAATTTTGAAGAGAACTAAATTATCATATTGGAGCAATATGATATTATTAATTACCAAAAGCATAGGTAATAACATTTAATATATTCATACTCAAGTATACATATAGCATAATTCATATGGTGCATATATAATGTAGACTACTTCATACTTATTATTACAAGGGACTCGCATGATCTAAAACTGTTGCAACTGAAACTACTCAAACCGAACATGTGGAATTCTGGTTGGTTTATGCAGATTTCTTGTTTGGAATCCAGACTATATGATCCTCAGGAAGAAAATGGCAGACAGGAACAGTTCCTGGCTTGACTTTGAGCACTTGGAAGGCCAAATGCCTTGGGTTCCAGGCCGCGGTATCCGTGTGGCATACCGCTACTGCTTTAGCTTTCACCCCATCAGCGCCTTCCATGGACACCAAATAAGTCTCTGTGGTCTGTGTCGCGTGGCAGTAGAACACCGCATACGCGTACTTCTGCTTGTGGCACGCAACAGACTTCTCGCCCGACGTCTTCTTTTCAACTCTTGTCACCGTATAGGTCTGCACCCCGGTCTCCTTCTCCACCTCCGTCGATAAGACCTGCACGTCTTTTCCAAGCTTGAAGGTGCTGAAGTCGATCATCGACTCCAATGAAGTCGCGCAGTACTTCTCCTCGCCCTTAACGCTTGGACTGTCACACTCGTTGAGCGTTTCCTTGATCATATCAGCTTCTTCTGACTGCGGTGTCACGGAGAATTTTGTCAAAATTTCAGGCAGTTTGTTGGACGAGAAAGGGATTGATGCAGCCACTTGGCGGGGCAAGAAAGTCGCCCTGTTTGAACTTTTGGTGAAGTGCAAGTTAATTTTGGCGCCGGGATGAACGTCCTTCTCCAAGAAGAAGAGGGCTACATTGGGGTCCTCATGGAGTTGAGTCTCACTGGCAGCATATAAGTAGTTGAATGGATCTTTCCCTGGGTGTACTCCAACATAAACAGGCCTGCCCTTGTGGCCTGTGCTTACAGAGACCCCTCCTTTCCCAACACCAACATTGGTTCTTTTTCCAGGCTTTCCTGTATTAACCCTGACGCCAGGGCCTTTCCCGACGGTCACATGGGTGCCGCCGCCTGAGTTCCCCTTCCCCGTGTTAACGTTAACTCCCGATCCCTTTCCGACATTGACGGAAGTACTCTTGTCTTCCCCAAAGTCTGCAAATCAACAAAATGATCAAGCCAGTTATGACTAGTGTGACAAAGTAACAACTCAACCATGCTTATAAAACACATAGATCAAACTCAGCTATCCTAGTTATTTGGTGAAAAAGTATTGTTGCTTTTGTTAATATGCACATCTTTGTAGTGGCTCGCTTATTTTTGTACATAATAATCTTGAAAGAAGCAACTTCTAGCCTTATGGCTTCTTGGGTTAAAAAATTGTTTCTATAATGTTCAGATAATTTTCTAGAAGAGCTTCCATAAAAAACTATTCTAAGTAGTCTTTAAAATTTGTACCATCTCTTTGAAAAGTTTTTATAAATATTTTTGTAATAATTTTTATTACCCATTAGAAGATTTAAACATCATTTTCATCTTTTTAAGCTTTTAAAATTAAAAAAAAAAGGATTGAAACACAGAAAAATCATAACTTTTCCTTCTCTTCTTTCAATAACTAAATTATAAGAAAAAACAATGAGAAATAGACCCTAGAGTATTTCATCGAAATGAGTGTATGATGATCACAAGAGATATTTTGAGTGAAATCTCTAAGAGGAGCTATTGGTTTCAAAGTACCAACCAGCAGGTTGCAAAAGATCACTGACGGCTTTCGGGATCGGCGTGTTTGGCAGGGAAGACTTCCAGTAAAGTTCAGGAGACAGCACGGCGTGGCTCGCTGCAAGCAATAACTGCACGCATATATGATCAATTCGCATTAGCTCTCGATATATTTTGAACGGAAATTTAAACTTTTGCTAGAGAAAACACCCTAACTAAAAAGTTTAAAATATAATTCATACCAACAAATTAAACAAATGACATATATACATGTATATATATACACACACGCGTATATACATATGTATACACAGTAGATAACAACACACACACACACAAAACTATCAGACAAAATACATAGATTTGAAAACACGAAAAGCTTACCGTGAGAAAAGCAAGGATGTATGGAAGATGAAGAAACCCCATAACTGCTAAGGCTGTGAAAATTGGATCTGCAAAACAAGTACTTTGGTTGAGAGACTTCAGAGAGAAGTATTTGAGCTGAGAGCTAACTTATAATACTAGTACGAATTGTATATCTATTTGTTGCCTTTATAGATACATATATATATATATATATATAATGGCGTAGGTTTGTGCTAACTTTTTCCACCCACAATATCGATTATTAATTACTTCCAACTGTCCCTGGCTCACTTACTCATAACTACATTAACGTCGAAATGGGACAGCTGCATATATATAGAGGACGTACGTACTTGACAAGTGCATGGCGGTGAGATTATTTATGTTAAAAACTTTTTTGTTTTTCTTAGAGAGTTGTTTCTTTTTTTTTTTTTTCCTCCCTTCATCATTGCTTGGATTGTGCTTTAGTGACAGATCTACAGATAAAAGTTTGAAAAATTTATCATCTCTCTTTAATAGCATGAGTGACATTTTCCAGCAATCGTATTTAAACTAACAACTACTACATTTATTAGGGTTTAGTAGGAGTTGCAGGTCGTATTCTTAATTTCTTGATTTTTTTTTCTTTCATGTCTTGTTGTGTATTTGGATAATTGTATGATAGTTAGGGTTTTATTAACCATTAAATTAAATTAAAATTATATTAAATTAAATAAAGTATGATAATTTAGCGGAATCGGGTGAAAATCCGATAGTTGTGTTATTAGTTTGGATATTTTTTTGTCATATTCATCGAAAACTTATCCTTTTTTTCTTTTTTTTTTTCGTTTCAAGATATGTGAAGAAGTGATTTACTTTGTAATTTTCCCGCACGCATGTTCTGTATTTTACAATAATAATAGTAATAATAATAATAATAATAATAATAATAATAATAATAGTAATAATAATAATAATAATAATAAAAGCATGTTGTGGATAGTACATCAATTTGGTTGGTATCCGTTAGGAAAAAAGTGGATATACAATTTTCATTATTTTTGAAAAATATAACAAAGCAGAAAATTAAAGAGTTACGTGTATATTAGAGATGTGAAGAAAACAGTATTTTCGTTTAATTAATTATATGCCTACAAATTTTGTTTTTGTTTTCCCGTTATAGCCTGATAGGATTAAATCTGAGGGTTCGAGAAACTAAGATTTTTTTTATTGTTATTATTATTTTAGTTGTTTTTTTGGAATTGTTCTAGATGGAAACGACTTTTTTTTTTTAAATTTATCTAATTGGCTCTCTCTCTCTCTCTCTCTCTCTCTCTCTCTCTCTCTCTCTCCCTAAAAAAAAAATGGCTGTCGTAGCTAAGATCTCTCTCTCTCTCTCTCTCTCTCTCTCTCTCTCTCTCTCTCTCTCTCCCCCCGACATACACGCACGCACACACGATTGAATGATTTCCCTATGCATGAATAAAGACGTATGGTCGTGAACAACCTAATTAACCTTAAGGGCATCTGTTTTTTTAATCATCAATTTCTGAAGCAGGTAAGAGTAGAGGTATCAAAAGGTAAAATGGAAGAAACAGGCTCTAACCTAATGTTTGGTGGAGGGATTCGTTCCCTGATTCGAATCATGATTCATGGTTCGCTACAGTATTTTCTCTCACAAAAAATTCACGTAAATCGAAAATGGTTCGAATCACATGATATATATATATAAACACACACACAGAGCATTTGTATGCATAATTTGTACACAGCTCGACTTATAACAGGTTTGATGATCAACTGTTGAACAAAGTTGAAACGTTTTGTCTGATCATCACTATGACGCTGTTATATATCTCAGTAAAATGTGGTTTAAGTCTTGTTCGCATTATATATTAATGCATATATTAAATAACACTTTTTTAGTTCTGTCAAAGAAAATAAAACATGAAATTTTTAATTGTACTGTCCAATAACATTAATGCTCAAAGGAAAAATAAAATGGTACTAGGAGAGATGACATAAGAATGATTAATTTCATAAATGCCCACTATGAACTTTGCACTTTATTCTTAACATGCCCTAAAGGGTATTTCGCCTTCTAAATTATATACCTTAGTTTAAAATATCCCCTATGTCTATAATACTAACAAAATGATGATGTAAATTAATTTATAAAATGCCCCCAAACTATTAATTTTAAATCAATTTGCAATTTGAATTATTTCTTTTATATCAACTTGCTCCCAAATTTATTAATAAATAAAGAGGCATGTTAACGCACATTTATGAAATAACATTAGTTCAAGAGTGTTTTAAACTCCTTTACATAATTCGGGGGTGAAATGAGATTTAAGAGACATGTTAAACTGGGATACAAAGTGCAGTGGTGGGAATTTATGTAATTAATCCACCTAAGAATAATAAGAAAATTAAGTTGAAATGAGGCATGTTAAACTAGGATACAAAGTGGTGGGCACTTATGACATTAATCAACCTAAAAATAATAAGAAAATTAAGTTGAAATTACAGAATCACCCTTGATAAGAAACCCTTCCCTATTATATGATAGTACAAAATGGAAACAATAAATTGTGCTTGGTAGTTGGTGTCCGGCTCAGTTGAGCTCACACATTAATTATACCACTGTACTTCTTGCATTATATAGATTGTTACTTTGAAAATCACCTACGAAAATAGGCCAAGAGATGAGGGTCTCTCTCAAATTCACAATTTTTCAGCATGTCTTGTGGTGAAATCGTTGAAGTACTCTTGGTGTCCCAAAATTTGAGTGTGTTTTAAACAGTAGTGGCACATATATTGAGTATGAGTCTCCAAACGGACTGGGGCTTAGCAGTATTATTAGAAGTTATTTGATTTGTGGTTGGGGTCAAATTGCACTTAAACTTCTATAATAATAATAATAATAATAATAATAATAAAAAGGAGATAAAGACCGCTTAAATTATTTATTTCATATAATCTATTTAGTACGTAGCGAGACACCACTATAGGATGAACCGTAAATTCAAACATCTTGAGTTTTCAAACTTTAAAAATAATAAAACTTATGAGTTGAATGAGCTTGGAAGATTCTTTGATAGTAGTAGTAATAATAAAAGAAGAAGAAGCTTATATCTCTCTTTTCTTCTTTAATGTATGGGTGGAAATGAATGATAACCGAATGGGGTGGAGGAAGAAGAAAGGAAAAGATCAGAAGAGAAGAAGATATGGTCGGTTCTTTGTTTAATATATTCGACTCATTTGATGAAGAGAAAGTTGGTCCAAGTTCACTCGTTGAATCTGAAGTTTTACTACATTTATTATTGTAATCTCTCTTTCTTGTAAAGAAAATGGAACAATTAAGCTTTAGGGTCCCGGTTATGGACCCACATGAATAAATTGTCACTAAAGTTTATGGGGTACACTCGGTGTATAATGCCACTACCCTAGTTGGAGAAGGAATACTATTAAATTATATTAGTTGTGATTCATCAACCTCTCATATTCTGTTTGTAAAATCTGATGGGCCAAAGTTGATTTCTTTGGGGTATGTTTTGAAGTTTATATCTGAGGTGATCAAATAAAGGAAATTAGGACTGTCCCAAAAGCTTTTTTGCTGCAACTAACATTTTAAATATTCGATTCTGTCATGAAACTGATTGTGTTTAAACTCTGAAAATGAGTTCCACGTTAGTTGAGATTGCAACAGTTTACCAATATTTATCCGACCAACATATATATAGAATACATTATTACTCATGTTGAAGAGAGAATATTCACTACTTATATGCATGGCTATCTTCCACTGTGGGTGGGAAATCAAAATATTACTTTAAAGTCGAGAGAGAAGAAAAGAAATCACTTAGATTAAGGGATAGGGTTTTAGTAAACTCTTTTTTTTTTTCTTCCTCTCCTTTTAAATTAAAAAAAAAACACTAACAAACAAACGAGAGAGAGCGAGAGAGAAAGAGAAAGGAGAAGAAATCACTTAGATTAAGGGACAGGGTTTTAGTAAACTCAATTTTTTTTTTGTTTTTTTTATCCCTCACCTCTTTTTAAATTAAAAAAAAAAACTGACAAACAAACGAGCCAGTGTTTGAAGTTGTTTGCACGCAGTTTGTTGTATAAATTAAGCTATTGCTGTTATTTCAAAAACAACTACAAAAATTAAGCTACTTTTATGATCTGTGTGTACAGGGTAGGACCATAAATATTGAACTACTAGTAGTCTCTATTTTTAACCGTCAAATCTATATAAAAAATCATATATTCTATTTTTTTTTTTTTAAATTTGAGTGATTTTGAGTTTTTGACCTGATTGAGTAAGTAAAAAATCATATATTCTATTTTTTTTTTTAAATTTGAGTGATTTTGAGTTTTTGACCTGATTGAGTAAAAAACAAGCAGCAGGAAAACTCTCTGTATTTATATATTGAAATTACAAATTTATGATGAAGAAGTTGGGCTTGTTTTGTGGGTTTTGTTATTTAAAACAATTGATCCGACCCAAAATTGATATTGTGGCCCAGAACTGGAACAGGTGGCCTACTTTTTGTACGATAATGGGTCATCTTGACTAAAACGATTTCAAAATGAAAGTTTGTAGGGCAAAGTCGCCTAAACTCATATATGTGTATAGCGAGTAATACTATGCAAATTCTCTAATATCATCTTATAATAAAGTTGCATGTACCTTACGTATTAGGTAATAGAAATTATCACTACTTTGAGCAGGGTAACGAACTTTGGTATTAAATAATTAGAATCATTATCATGCTATGGTAACTAATTTTGCTCTTTGTGCAATTTACCGAAAAGTACAAACCCTTGTAGAATATTCCTTAAGTAGCAAGATCAAATTAATAAAATTCATCGTTAATTAAACTCGAAACCTGGAATATAGTTGTTTTAGGGTCAAGTCCGATCTACTCAATACAATCACACAACCTAGGTAGAGAGGAGGTCTCACGTCCAATATTGAGACGAATTCTAACATTGTTGAAACGACATTTTATGTTGGGACTATTCGTTTAGTAGAGGAAGGGGAATTATCCGTACATAAATATTTAACATTTATTAGACACAAAAAAAATAAAGTATCAAAATTGTTCGGTTAAAAACTGATCGTACTAATAAAAAAGTCTTATAGGAGAAAGATCCCAATTTATAATGCCTCCATCCAACTGTAATTA